GATCTTTGAAGGGCCCCAGGTCCCCAGTTTGTGTGAGTGTCCTTTGCTGCGTCATCCTTACCGCCCTGGAGGGGCCATTCAGCCTCTCCATGGTCTTCTGATTACTGGAGCCTGCAGGTGCCTCAGGAATCATTTATTCCAGAAAGGCTGTGTGATTCCACTTATATGAGGTGCCTGCAGGAGTCAAACCCGGAGACAGAATGTAGAAGGGTAGTTGCCTGGGACTTGGGGAAGTGGGGAATGGGGAGTTAGTGTTTAATGGGGACAGAGTGTCAGTTTGGGAAGGTAAGAAAGTACTGGAGATGGATGGTAGTGAGAGTTGATGATAGTTGTACAATATATGAATAGGCTTAATGCCACTGAATTGCCTCCTTAAGACTGGTTAAGGTGCTAAATTTTATGTATGTTTGGCTGAAATTTTTGAAGTGAAATAAATACATTAATAAAAGAGACAGACAAAAACTATCCATTCTATTGCTGGAAAGTTCCATTGAAAAGTTTAACTCACTTCAGTAACCTCAGTTGGTCTGTATTTTGTGCTCTGGAACCATGGAGAACAAATCTGACCCTTTCCCCTGGATGAAGACATCTAGCTTGTCCCCTCCCAGCAGCCTCTCCAAGGCTGACTAGTCCCAGTTCCCTCAGTAGGGCATGCAGTTTTGTTTACTTTTACAGTTTATTTGTAAATTATCATGATCAAGATAAGGACTATTCATTATGATTGCCTGATAAGCCTTGCTTACTCACTCTGTCTCCCTTTTAATTTATTTGTTGATGAAACTGGGTCACTTCCCTGGAGAGTTTTGGTTCTCATACCCCCCCCCCCCCATAAACTAGATAGACACCCTTCTCTGTCCTCTGTATTGCTTGTGAATTGGTAATTGGATTATTTTATAAATGCTTGGAATCCAACTACATAATAATTTGTTCTAGTTTTTGTTTTTGTTTTTGTTTTTGTTTTTACGGGGGGTAGGCAGTGGAAAGGGTAGGCTTTCTTCCTCAATGTTTTGTCTGGAAAGTTGCAAACATTGAGAGAATGGAAAAATTTATATAATGAAAATACCCAAGTACCCTTTACATAGACTCACCAGCCATTAACATTCTGCCATATTTGCTTTCTCTCTCCTTTGCGTGCGCGCGCGCACACACACACACACACACACAAATACACACAAATACATAGTGTTTTCCCCCCTGCATCATTTGAACTTCAGTTAATAGACATCATGGCACTTCACTTTAAAATATTTCCGTACTCAACTCCTCTGAGAATGCTTGCTGTAAGACATTCTCCTATATAATCACAATTGTGTTGACTCAAAAAAGTATTATATCTAGTTTATATATTGTTTACTATTTAGTGCATATTTCCACAATTATGTAAATAACCTCCTTTATACCAATGGTATTTTTAAAATTCAGAATAAAAAAAATAAAATAAATAAGATTCAGAATCCAAGCAAGAATCATGAATTGTATTTGTTTTTTGTTTGTTTTGTTTAAGATTTTGTTTATTTATTTTTGGACAGAGGGGAAAGGAGGGAGAAAGAGAGGGAGAGAAACATCAATGTGTGGTTGCCTCTCACATGCCCCCTACTGGGGACCTGGCCTGCAACCCAGGCATGTGTCTTGACTGGGAATCGAACTAGTGACCCTTTGGTTTGCAGTCCAGTGCTCAATCCACTGAGCCACACCAGCTGGGGCTGTATTTTGTTTTCATGCCACTGTAGTCACCTACATAAATTTGTTCCAAGCTTTTTTGGGTCTTATCTGACACTGACATTTTTGAAGAGTCCTGGCCTGTTATTTTACAGAATGTCCCTAGATTTGGAATTGCCTGATTGTTTCCCTATGATTAGATTCAAGGTAAATATTTCCAGGAAGACACTGCATGGGCAGTGCTGAGTCATTCAGTGTAATGCTCTGGAGGCACATGATGTCTGTCCCATATTGGTGATGGGTTTGATCACTCGGTTAAGGTGATGTCTACCAGATTTCCTCACTGTAAAGGTCCCTTTTCTCCGTTGTAATTAATAATCTATTGCATATTAATAGATGCTTTTAAAATAGTTTTAAAAGCTTATGCCATTGGTAATGGGGGAAATTAAATGGAAAAGATTATGAGCATATTAGTAAAGAGTTATTGTTGCTGATGGAAAGATAATTTTTAAGTATTTTCCTGAGAGAAGACAAGGGTGATGGTGGGTAGTACAGGTGAGGAATGGTCTTTAGAGAAGACTGACGTGTTCAAATCCCAGCTCCGCATATGAACCTGTGCAATTTTAGAAAAGTCACTTAACTTCTCAAATCCTCAATTTTCTGACTAAAATGAGTGTAGTAATATACATTCCTGGCAGGATTGTTAAAATGATTAAACGAGATAGTGTATGAGTGGCCTCTAACCTTGCAGCCACCCCGTGACCATATTGTGGGAGGTAAGCAGGGCGTCCTTCCTAAGCAGTCTTCGGAGTTTAAACCTATCCATGGGTGTTCACTCTCGAAATTAGCTTGAAATATTCAAGCATGTTGATAGGAAAATGTGATCAACAGGTTAGGTGACTTTGTGACATTTCAAAGAAAGGAATTAAGAATTGGCAGATATTTACAGGCTTCTTAAATATGATTTGTCTGTGGTGGACTTGCATAGACTTGAGTTGCCATGTATTCAGACCTGTTTCTGATTGCAGTCCATTTTAATCTATTGCCACAGATTATTTTTGAAACAGTTTATATGTAGTCTGATTGAGAATAGTGAATCAATAATTCTGTGGCCCATTTACATTCATTACTATAAAAATTTCATTTCATACAAGTGACAATTTTTTTAAGTTAATTGACTTGGCTGTACTGAGGTTAGCAAAAAAAGTGCTTTGAATTATCAATAATTCAGCAGGGCAGACATTTCTGTATAATGCAGTGGTTTTATAGAATATTGTGAGATAGTTATCCCTAAAATAAATGGTGGTGAGCATTCATCAGCGTGGTGGGGTTCACTTGAATGTAGTGCAAAGTGATAGTATCTATGCTTTCTATTATTGGGCAGAGTATGGGACATCAGTCTTTCTGGTCATGAACTACTAGCAACCTTTGTCCTTTGTGTTACCTTTAGTTAAAAACGAAAAATGAGCATGAATGCTGGCTGATGGCCATGTCTTTCTTACAGCTAAAAATTCATCTGGGAAAGAAAAATGGGATTGCAGGTTTGGATTTGTTTCATTGCATGAATGATATGTGACATTTTGTAAATTATTTATCACTGTAAGGATGGCAGCAATGGCTTGAGCATTGTTATATCAAATGAAAGCAGGAATCCCATTAGTACAAGGACTTGGCTTTAGCTAGAATCTATCAGGGGAATGTTGTCATTTTAAAACCAGATTGTTCTTTTAATTGCTATTTAAAGGAACAAAAGTGTTCCCAAGGTACTGCAGTTGAGCAGTTGCAAGTAATAACTATGGTTCCATAATTATGCAGTGCTGATTATCTGGCATTTAAAAAAATTGTGGCTGGAGTCAGTGACCAATTTGTTGTAGCTTGTCTTTTTTGGTTTTTCTAATACAAAGTATTTTATACTCTGTTTTTTAACTGGGGCCTCAAAAAGACATTTGCATAGCTACCTCAGAAAGTAAAGCCTGTGCATATTAAAAGAGCACATTCTACTAAAAATAAGGGCAAGATAATGAACACAGATTGTATGATGAAATTAACAGTCATATTCAACAATTTTACAAATGCTTGGTCATAAGACAGATTCTGGTTTTTGATGATGTGTTGTCACAGCTAACCAAGACATTTGTTGGAATCATAACCATTTGAAATATCTTTGAGATGAGGGTTTTTTTTTTGTTAAACTAGCATATGTTTCTTTCATTTATTCAGTTAGCAAATACATTTTGAGCGCCTACTGTGCATCAGGCAATGCATTAGACATTTGGGATAGAGTAGCTGAACAAAGATGTTTATTCTGTACTGATGTATATTTAAAAAGACCTAGCAAAATCTTGTTTTAGATTTACATTAAAAAAATTTGTGATTATACTAAGTTTTCTTGCCTTGAATTTTTGATTCATGAGGTTCAAATATAAATACATTATAGTTGCATTCAGATGGCTGGCAGACAACATGTGTGAAGGCTTGGAATATGCAAAAAATTTTAGTTTTCATACAGTTTTGGTGGTTCAAAATAAATGTGACCATATCTGTAGGCACAGTCAGCTATTCATATGGATGGGAATACTAGCATTGCTGGTAGTCATAAATAACAGCGGAGACACAAAATGTATGCAGATTTAGGCATTGTTCACAGCAATTTCCTCAGAGTTAAAAGGTGCTGGGGGGTTAGGCAAATGTTTTGTTATTCTTTTATTAAAGTGGGAATGTCAAAGACTGAGAGGTCGTGTCCTTTGCATGGCATGATGTGGTTTACTTTTGAGTATCTCAGTGCCAGGAAGGCCTTGTTCATGATCTTTGATCTTTTCAAGTGATGCTACAGAATTTTAAAGTTCTTGCTTAGTTTTAATTCTATTATGTCATCTCAAAATACCAATATTTTCTATCAAGTGTTTGATAGATGAATAATTGTTTTTTGATAATTTTGATAAAGTTCAGCTCAACAATGTTGCCTAAATAGAGGATATTCATAATCTAGAATACTGAACATGTAGATAAATCAATTATCATAAGCAAATAGATTGCGGGAACTATATGAGATTTCAAGTGAATCCTTAATGTTCATTAATGGAAAGTTATACAATATATAGAGATTTCATTGATTTAACAAGAATTCTGAATCTCATTATTATACTTAAAAACATTATTCAGGTAATAAATAGTATTAAATAATTTAAGAGAGTTTTTATTAGCAGAAAATGTTGATTTGAATATCTTATTCAGCAGTTTTTCTTTGTTAAAGAAATAGGTAAGAAGCTTTTGACTTTAATGTTTTGTTTTTAATTTTGAAGTGGAAAACTAACAATATTTTTTCATTTTAATTTTCATAGCCCCGTGCTGATCCCATTCCAATATGTAGCTTCTGTCTGGGGACTAAAGAATCAAATCGTGAAAAGAAACCGGAAGAACTCCTTTCTTGTGCAGATTGTGGCAGTAGTGGTGAGTTGGTGTTTTTTGTGTTTGTACAATGGCTCCCCATTGTAGCTACAGGCTATTTCTCTATCAGAACTGTGTTCTTCAAAGCAATTATTTGGTAATAGCATACATTTTAAATTTTTAAAAGTAAGTACAGAAATGGAGAAAGAAGTATAAGTATATTAGCACTGACATAAAAATATGTATGTTTATATAACACTTTATATTAATATTTATAATTAAGCTTTGATTTCATACCAGCATTGGTAATTCATTGTAGAGTATTGTACTTTGCAGGCAGATTCAATGAGGAGAAGTCTAAGTTTTCGAGTTGGACACACTAGAATCACGTGTTTTCTATAACCTGAAGTCTCAATTAAGAGATATTTGAGTTGGAAAATATAGTGTTTCAGGTCATGACACCTACTGGTGAAATATAATATTACATCACAACTCTGTGACTGAATGAAAGGGACAGTCTTCTGGAAACTGCAATGATAGAATCAAGAAATCATCAGGCATGAAAGAAATTCAAATTGCCTAGAATTAGATAGGAAGAGTGGTTTGTGTAGAGGGTGATGTTGAAATCAAGGAATGCTGGGTAGGGACACTGGATCTCTGGCAAATTGCAGTACCCCCAGATGCTTTCAAGGTAGCTGTCACTTCTGCCACTATTTCTCAACATGACATTTTAAGACCACACCTCTAGTTTTATAATGGAAACTAAAGGTCAAATTGCTTACATTAAAAGAATTTGTCTTACCAAGCCAGTCTTCCTTCTTCTTAAGCAGGTGATAGTTGTCTAGCTGAGATGTATATATGGTTGTATGTTATGTATCTGTGTATGCACATATATACATACTCATTTTTTAAAGATTTTATTTATTTATTTTTTAGAGAGAGGGAAAGGGAAGGAGAAAGAGAGGGAGAGAAACATCAATGTGTGGTTACCTTTCTGTGTCCCCTACTGGAGACCTGCCCTACAACCCAGGCATTTGCCCTGAGAATCGAACCGGTGACCCTTTGGTTCGCAGCCTGTTCTCAATCCACTGAGCTACACCAGCCAGGGCACATACTTAAATACACACATATCAACAGATTGAGTGGTATTTATTGGATTTTTAAAGTTAATCTTTGTATATTAATCTTTAAATTTTCCCCCTCTCAGCTTACTGAAATTTTTCCCCTTAAATTGTTGTTTTAAAATTCATAACCAACTACTATTTTTGTAGTGATAGTTATCTTTAAAAACACCAACAAACCTGCAAAACATCAAGGAAATCAGTGTTATATAGTGGTTTAGAACAAACTGGAGAGCCAGCAACAGCCCAGCCCCTTTACCTTGAATTAATTCATTAACCATTCTGAGCCTCAGTTTTTTAATTAGAAAATTAGCACCTACCCTCTTTCATTTTGTGGGAGTTAAATGTGAGGGCACAGGGTCCACAGCAACTTTGGTAAGTGTATTGTAAATGCTAGCCAATTATTTGGCATGTTTGATATTGTTGTCCTTAATTGCTGCAGGTAGTTCAAAATCTTATTGCCACTTCTGACAGCTGCTCGCTGCTTGAGTGGAGGGAATGTCTCACGCTGAGGCATGGCCGTGTTGTGTAAGAAGGTTTTGACTGGATGGGCTATATGTGACTTCACAGCTCTCTGGACCTGACTCGAAGGGGAGAGCCTTGGAAATAAGACATTTCAAACTCTGCTTGAGAAATGCATTCTGACAGTCTTTTTGATGGGCTTTACAGATTCATTAAAACTCTTTTACCTGCCCCTGTTATCATGGGTAGTGACAAAAGGGCAGGGAAACATTATCTGTATGTTCAGTTTAATAAATTTCAACCCTACAATCTCCCTCTTTTATCCCAGTGAGGTAGTGCCTCACTCATCAGTTCTGACTCTGTAGCTATCTTTTGGGTTTTCTCATGAGGCTCATTCTGAATGAATTATTCTTTTGTTTAACTGCCTGATCAATTGAGTGGTGTTCACTTGTCCAGGATCTACCCTTTGTGATTTTTAAGGTGGTACTTTGAAAACACTCTTCACTGTTGAATTTCATGAGTATGTATTTGGGTGCTTAGACAGATTAAAAACACTCTTAAGTGTGGGAAGAAAAGTTCCTTTTATATATTTCCTTACCTCTGGTGATACACTTACTTGAGTTGATAAGGAATTCGAGATCATTATCTTCTAGATCATAACTTCAAGGCCTCCTTCACAGGGTATAAAGGTGTAATTCTAAACAGGTAGATCTTAGATTTTCTGATGTAATCAATCTCCCTTTGTCTTTCCCAGGTTTGAAGACCTGCCAGAGGAGAGGTTTGATCTCCCTTATACTTAGAGGTCACTGAATTTTTTCCCCCTAAAGCTTCTTATTTTTCTAGGGTTGTAGGTGTAGTGTTATCTCTTCTCAAAAATACCCTCTTGTTTTCTTTTTTAACAAATGGAGAAGAATGGACTGAGGATACTGTCTAGAAGGTGTACATAGCTAGAGTCATTTTGTAAGTCACTTTCCCCCCTCCCATCAGGTAGAAAGAGCCAGAGCCTTCAGAGATGAGGTATAGGTCACAGCAGAAATTCAAGCCCTGGGGTCATCATCTTCCTTTGTGTGGGATAAAGGATGGCTCAGAGTGCTTCTCTGGACTCTGCAATGGGATCCGGCTCTCCTGTTGAGGTTCACTTAATCTCCCCTTGAGTGCTGTGCCAGTCTGGATTTAGCGACGTTAGTCAAAAAAACTATTGTTCCTAATTCGGGGACGTGCATTGTAGGCATTTACTTCTCTGGTAGATCAGATGAGTGGACTTTGTTATTTGGTAGTCTTTAAATAGAAGGATCAAAATAAAATATGGTTCTTCTTAGAGGGCTTAGGGAGAATCTTGTAGTTATAATGCTCTGTTGTGACCCCTTGATTATTACAGGAAAAAGGAATCAAGTCGGCTCGCATGGCTCGACATTGCCCTTTGACAATGGTGGGAGCCCGTTGTCATGGTGCAGCCCAGTTTCTCGAGTGGGAGTTACAGATTGGTTTGTACCCCTAGTTAGTCTTATGGAAATGGCCACTGTCTCACACTCAGAGGAGTCCATTGGTTCTAGGATTGAATTGAGACCGTTTATAGTGATCAAAGAAATCCCTCCTATAAGATGTTTATGTGAAAAAAAAAATACCCATAGCAGTATAAAACCAAGAAAAGGAAATAAAGATGGCAGCCCATAAGGATTATTCTTAAATGTGTTTCCCATATGTGCCTGTTGGTGTTTAGCCACCTCTATCTGAAGTACCATTTGTATGATGTCATATTTAAACTCTGCTTAGATTTCATAGGCATGAGTAATAAATGGTTCTTTCTCCTTACATCATAAAGACAATTAGAAATTTTTTATTTTTAAGATGGCTCAGTGCCAAAATGGGCAGTGTTTTCTTTAACTTGTGTGTGTATGTTTTTGCTAAAAGTTCTTTTGAAACAATGATTCAAATTTACAGGTATTAAAAATATAAGGTGAGGTGCATAGTGTAAGGAGCCCCAAATGTGGTTGTCCAGTTCTCTTCTGCTTGCCAGCTGTGGAACTGCGGTTTCCCGTATCTATAAAATACAGAGGGTAACATCTGTGCCCTGTATCCACAAGCCTGTTGTGAAGATCCAGTGAGATAATGATGTGAAGATTATCAGTAACTATAAAACATTCCACAAATGTGAAGGATTATTCTAACCACTGATGTGAATGTGGGAATCATCAAATAGTCTTCAGGTCTATGGGAATGTTGGGACTAGAAAGTGATTTTACTTGACTTTCATGGATCAGCCTATTTTGAAATTAACACTGTTATATTCTCTTTGCCTCATTAAGACCAAATTATCTTTAATTAGCTTCACATAAGTATTAGATATTATACCAAATGAAATTTTGTGTCTGCTGCTCAGATTGCCGGGTGGTTAAATCTTACTTACAGATGAGTTGTGTGCATGTGTGTTTTCAAATTAGCAAATCTAAGATAAGTGTACAGTTCAAAATTACAGCATCATTCTAAGTGGAAGCTCATTGAAACTAGAGACAAAGAAAGGCTGCTGTGATGTAGCTGGGAGAGTAAAAAAAAATCACCTTTGTACATTAAAGGGGTCGAGTATCGGTCCACCCTGAGGACACCTGAAATCTCTCCTGGCTTTGTTGCCTCCGTGTAGCAAAATCTAAAGGTCACTTTTTAGTCTTTGTCAAATATCTAATGGACATCTTTCAGTTCATACCAAATACTCCTCTCAGCCATGTTTGACCTGTCGAGAGTCTTTTTCTTTGAAGTTTTTTTTCTCTGGCTTCTGTGATATCATATTCTCTGTGTTCTCTCTCTACCAATTCCTTCCACACTTTTGTTAGCTCCTTGGCTTTTCCCCATCCCTTCAATGTTTCTTTAGACTCTGACTGTGTTTTTTACTTTGCTTCATAGCTTCTCACCTCCAGACCCTTAGATGTAAATGCATTGTCCATAGCTTCTCCATTTGGATGCCCCATAGGCTCCTCAAAGTTAATGTCCCAACAGCTTATCAACATTGCACTGATCCCTCCACCCAAAAACAACCATCAAAGCAAGAGCAACAGAAATATCAGCAAACATACACCATCTTGCTTTTCCTCAGGGATTTACCATTTTAGCCAGTGGCATACACCAGCCAGAAATTTAGGGCCATGCTTTATTTTATTCTCTTACACCAAAGAATCACCAAAAATCCATTGATTGTTGTGCACTAATACATATCCTACATTTTCAGTATATCCACACACTCCCACCAAATCAACTCAGATCTGCTATTATAATAACCTAAATCTGCAGCCTTAGTTACCTTTTAAAATTATAAATCTAGTAACAGAATTTTTCAGTGACTATCAATTACACTTAGGGAAAAAAATCCAAAATTTTTAAATATGTTCCCAAAAAACTCTTCTGGATTGGGCTCTTAAATGTATTCCGCATCACTGTCACCTGTTATGTGTACTAGTTATATTGAACTTCTTTCCTCTCCTTGAATGTAACATGTTCTCCTCTCCCTCTGCATGTGCTAGCTTCTCCCACCCTGTCCCACCTCTGGTCCCATCCAAGCTCACTCATCCTTTGGGTCTCTTCTTTAGGAAGGCCTTTATCTAACCTCCTGCTAGATTCTTGCATATCTTTAAGCCATCCCATTGTCATGAGTTCATTCTAATTCTTGCTTAATTCTTGTCTGTCTTTTCTGCTAGATTACATGGTCTGAAACATGTGTTCTTTTTTACACTGTGTCTCAAATGGACAGGTGGTTGGTAAGATAGCTAGTTCAAGAGACCCAGTGTTTGAGTTTTTATTAGTTTTCTATTGCTGCTATAGCAAATTCCCACAGACTTGTTGACAGAATTCAGTTTCTTGTGTTTGTAGGACTGAAATTCTGCCGCCCCCTTCCTTTTTTTTTTTTTTCCCCCCAGCTGTCAGGTAGATGACATTCCCTGCTCCTATAGGCCACCCGGATGCCTTGCCCTTTCCCCCACCCCTCTTCTTCCATCTTCAAAGGTATCAAAGTTTGATGGAGTCCTTCTTGGCTTTGAACCTCTCCTCTTCCTTCTTTCCTCTCATCTCATTAACCCAGCTGGAAAAGATTCTCAGCTTTTAAGTACTCATGATTAGATTGTACCGGACCAGATAATCCAGGATAATCTCCCTATCTCAAGGCCTGTACCCTTAGTCCCCTCCGCAAAGACCCTCTTGCCACATCAGGTGATGTATTTACAAGTCACTGTGATTATGGCCCAGACATCACTGGGGGCCAGTACTCTGTCTACTGCAGAACCCACATTTTCTCCTCCCACAGTACTTCCTCCAAAAACTATTTCTACCGGTTTGTGGTTTCGTTGTTAGGAAATTATTTAATTTTAAGCAGTATGCCTTTGGTTTTGCTGGATAAAACTATTAAAAGCTTAATATGTTTGTAATAAGAATGAATAGCTGAATAAATATATGTATATATATTATGATCTCAAATCTGATAAATTGCAAATCACAATACTAAACCAGTCTCCAAAAAGACACCATCATGACTTGTGTCAGCAGAGAGAACCTGAGTTTTAAAGGAAATTGTTGAGCAGAATGAGTAAATCGGAGATAGGAAATTACATTATCAACTGCATTGTTGTGCTACATCTAATTACTATAGATTATGTATTAGTATATCAAGACTCTGATATTTTAAAGTTAGCCATGAGAAAATAAAATGGAAATATTTATTCATTCCTCAGCATCCCTTACAAATTTAGAGTTGGCAGGGATCTATGGCCAATTCTCTTGAACTAAATAAAGGTAAAATTACTGTCTAAAGGAAAGACTGGTTAAAGATTTTACAATTTGATAGTGTAGCTTAAGTGGCAGTGGTTGAGATATAATATTGCTTGAAGTGAGTGAAATAAGAGGAAGAATATTCTGTACTCTTGATTGAAAGTGGCTGAAATCCATTAATTTTTAAAATATATAATTATCAAAAAGTTTTCATGGATATCTGTGAGAATAGTAAGCTATAAAATGATGTGAAATACTTTAGTTGCTGAATATTAAGCTACAAAGTACAAAAGCAGATTTTAATGTAGAGAAAAATTTAGGGCATGAAATTGAGGTCATATGTTCTAGTGATGTATGACTTACAGGAAGTAATAAAAGGGGGAAAAAAGAAGTAAATGGTATACTTTTAGCTGATGGGACCCATTTTAAGGGTGGAATTTAAATTGCTGTTCTTTAAAACTTTAGTTTTTACCCCCCTCACTATATAAAGGGGGAGAAAACCTTGATCAAAGTAGACCTCTTCCGTCCTCCTTCAGAGTACACTTCTTAAAGTCGACAAGCAAGTTGCCTTTGTTTGCTGCTCCTGAGCAGAAAGAGGTGATTGATACCATTTTTATATATTTAAACTTCTCCCCGGCGTTTGTTTGAATGAGAGAAGCCCTTGTAAAAGAATGGTGTCGTAGGTTAAATGCATCTGCCTGGGTGCCTCTCCTGCCTGAAGTCATACTCCTGTGACAACATTTTATTTGCTCAACATCTTAAATACAGATGTTTAGAATTTAAAAAAAAAAAGCCCCAGGAATAGTATGCTTTTATTAACGGTATTGATGATTGATTTTGAATGTCTTTACTTCAAAAAGCTAAATCTCCTGGTGGGTGGAATTTTATGAAGCACCTGTTAAGCTTTAGGGAGGAGGACCTTTTTGGCAGCAACCCAAAATATATATTTAAACAATGAGCCTGCCAAAGTCAGGAAATTATAAAACAGTTTTGAAATTGCAGAATCTGCTTTTTTTTTTTTTATTACCCCTCAGGTTTCTTTTGCAGCTTGGTTATAAGTTCTTTCACATGGGATTTACCAATGTTCTTAACTATTTTAAGACCAGATTTAGAAAAATAAAATTAAGTTTGGATATGCCGGGTTTACATGATAAAAGACCATCAGATTTTAAACTGAATTGCCTTCTCCAGGATATAGGCTCACACTCCCCAAACCTTTTGGAGGAATTTATTGTTTATTATCGAGTGTAGCCTGTCTGGCTTCCTTGAAAGGTGCTGCCCCTCGGGGTCTCAGGTTTTCCTCTGTGCAGGGAGAGCTGCCAGATGAAAAGTGTGCCCAAAACAGTATGGAAAAGCTGAACGAACACTCATAAAAATGGGGGAAACCTGCTGAGGGTATGCTTCTTGGTGTATTCAATTTGACCTGGATCTTTCAACATCTTAACTTTCAAATTCAAATCCACTGTTTCTGTTCTTACTTATAGAATTTAAATTAAGAGACTAGGGTCAAGATGGCAACAGTATCTTCTCTATACATTCTAGCAATGGGATATTCTTTGTATAGTATTGGGTTTTGGGGTTTTGGTTTTTTGTTGTTGTTGTTTTTTTTTGCATTTGTAGTTGTATTATGTTAAGCAGCCCCAATTTTTTATTTCGCAAACACTTGGGTTTTATGATTCCATCACACAGAGAGAGCAGGAATTATTTTAACTTCAGTCCTTCCCTCACAGTTTGGCAAACCAGAAAACACGGGGTAAGTGGCAGTTGATGGTGATTCCGAGGGCAGGAGACTAACCAGAAGGCACAGGAGTGAGAACACAATCTAAGCATAGGTTATCTTCAAGTTCTCCAAGACTCGAGATTAGAATTGGTGTAAGTTTTCCCAGTTTCTCTTAGGAGAGACCTTTGTACAGTCACTGTTACATACAGAAAAAGGCAGACAGGAAAGTGTAATTTGGATTCTCTTTTTGTATTTTCAAGTTCTTAAGGTTCTTGGCTGGTATTATTACTATCTATTAAATGTTAGGGAATGAGAGTTTAAAAATATGCAAGGCGGCACCATTTCCATAAAGCAATTTGCTTTCATGCTTGTAGGACACCCATCCTGTTTGAAATTTTGTCCTGAACTAACAACAAATGTAAAGGCCTTAAGGTGGCAGTGCATCGAATGCAAGACGTGCAGTGCATGTAGAATCCAAGGCAAAAATGCAGTAAGTATGGCTCTCCGTATCCCTCCATCTCCAAGTAAATGGTTAGTTTTCAGTGTTAAGGTTTTTATTTTCTGTAGACTGTTGCTATATTCTTTTGAACTTTTAAATGTACAGATGCCAAATTTCAACATTGATCATAGTGCTCCTTCATTATACTTTATTACTGTTGATTGGATAACATAAGAATTTGTGGCCTATTACAGTCAATTTCAGTCTCAATTAGTCTCTAATATGTTACATTACAGGATAATATGCTTTTCTGTGACTCCTGTGATAGAGGATTCCATATGGAGTGCTGTGACCCCCCACTTTCCAGAATGCCAAAAGGTGAATTTTTAAACCATATTTAAAATGTGCTTTATTACATACTTATTAGCTTTGCCCTGCTATCTTGACAGCTCAGAGGTATGCTGGTTCCTTAAGCATTTTTGCATTTCTCCCACCTTCCTCGTACTTACAGATTTGACACAGGTTATAACCAGAGGAATGTAAAAGTGTTTAGTTTGAAGGTAACATGTATAATAAAGACTCTAATTCAGACACAGGTATAAAAAGACCATTCCTCTCCTGAAACTATTTCTTTATTAAAATAGGTTTAGATTAGGTAGGTAAAAAGTTAAAAAAACAACAACTCCCTATTATTGGTACTGTGTTCATAGGTAAGACATTACCTGTTTTCAATGATGGAGCAAAAGCTGTCACCATTTTCTTGACCCTTGGCTGCTATTTTGAATGTGAGCCTCTGAACTGTTTTATATGAATATATCCGTACAGGATCAGGGTGTTTGGTTTTTTTGTTTGTTTGTTTTGGTCTCTATTTATTGTGTGAATAAGCCTAACTCAGTCTTCTTTTCCTCATTTTGTTTATTTATGTATATAAAACATATATTTTTAAAAAGATTTTATTTATTTCTTTTTAGAGAGAGGGGAAGGGAGGGAGAAAGATAGGGAGAAAAACATTGATTGGTCGCCTCTCGCGTGCACCTCCACCAGGGACCAGGCCTACAACCCGGGCTTGTGCCCTGACCCGGAATTCAACCAACAACCTTCGCTTTGTGGAACGATACCCAACTGGCCACCGCAGCAGTCAGGGATCATTTTCTAATATATTAAACATTAAAAATAACTTTGCCTTCTTATTACAAAGTTTGTACATTTTCATTTTGAAAGATTTAGAAAAGACAGATTGACAAAAAGGAATAAAAAGAACCACCAATTAGAAATTCCTTCTCTGCCCCCACATGCCCTTTTAAAAAGAAATAGAATATTTTATGTATGTTTTTGTAACTTCCAGCATTTCCACATTATTAAATGTTCTCCTAAACATAGTTTTTAATGAATGTGTAGAACTCCATCATATATAGAGCGGGGGTTACAAACCCCATGACTGTGAGCCATAGATATGCTTTGTTGGCTATAGACAAATAAATACAAATATTTAAGACTTCTCTAAATGCATTACAGAGGAGCTGGTATGATATTTTTTTAAATTTGAGTTCTTTAGATAAGTATGCATGCTCCAATTTGCCCACTCTCACTACTCTTTGTTGTGTTACATTCCAGCTTGCTTTAGTCACATGTATTAATACCTGGGTGGCTCCTGAACATACTTGATTTTGCAACCCCATGTATAAAAAACCCATAACTTATTTAACCAATCCCCTATGGTGAGCATTACAAATGTTTTCAATTTTTCCATCCACAATTATTGCCTTAAGATAGATTCCTAGGGGAGGAATTGCTGGATCAAAGGCTATGTACATGAAAGGTTGTATCAGTTTTCAGACCGACCACCAGTGTATGAGAATACCTGTTTCCCTGTGTTATGACCACACTCACCATTACTTTATTATATCAAGTCTAAGACACACTTAAAGAAAAAAGACATTTTAACATCTTTGAAATCAGATGCATCTTTAAGTTAGTAGTGTCTTAACATTCAATGAAATAGTGTTCTTATTGAATACTTTAAATTACCAATTTGGTAATAGAAAAAAGTCTGATCATTTTCTTTCTTTAAGTAGTGAGTCGAACATTTTTGTGTTTGATTATTGGCTGTTTGTATATCATCTTTGTAAAGTGCCTGTTTTATCCATTAATCATTGTTCTATTGGAGTTTTCACTTTTTTTTATTTGCAGAAGCTCTTATATTTTTATTGCAGTTAAACCCATGGTCTTTTTCTTTATGGCTTCAGTCTTAAATGTTAATAATGCTTTAGATGATAGAAATATCCATGTATTTTTCCTGGTACTTATAATATTTAATTTTTTCAAGTTATAATATTTACTTGCCTAGATAGACAGCTGTGTGTTCCATTGCCATACTGAATCATTTCATCCATTTGCCACCGATTTGAAATAAAACCTTTTTGAAATGCTGACCGTTCCTATAGGCGTCAGTGTTCTGGTCTTTCAGTGATCTATGGACCTCTTTCCCTATGCCAGATGTGCAGTTGTAATTATTATAACTCCATACCACTTAAAATTTTTAAGTTTTAATTCAAATATTTTTATACTGATAGTTTTTTTAGTATGGAAAAATTCTAGAAAGAGATAAGATAAATATTTTTTTCAGTTGTTCTAAAAACTGATTAACTTGAAAATGTCTTCCTCAAATCAGAAGATCTATAGTATCTGACAGGATCCATTTCCCATGTGTGTTTAGGTAGCGGGGGGAGGCTTTGTGGCACGTTGGGAACGCCTTATTGGAAAGGTTTTGAGACAGGAGCTGCCCTCTGTTCTCACCACCTTGGCGGGGAAATTGACCTTTGATGATGGCCTCCTGAAGAGACTGACAGAAGGGAAGGATCCACCTTTTGGAGTTACATTCTGTATATAGGCATCCTTGGGCAGCTTTTAAAGCTATAGTTTATATTTCATACCTCTCCCAAAATGAAACATTAAAATATTTTTTCATATATGTATCAATTCAGGGATGTGGATTTGCCAAGTCTGCAGACCAAAGAAAAAGGGAAGAAAACTACTTCATGAGAAAGCTGCACAAATAAAACGACGATATGCAAAACCCATTGGACGACCGAAAAATAAATTAAAGCAACGATTGTTGTAGGTTGAGATCTTATCAAAAAGAATACTTTATGTTGTGCTTTAAAATATAGGTGATTGTCACCCCCTTAGGTTCCATGAACTTTTTGCCATTATTTTTACAAACTCAAGGGATGGGGAATATTTCTCCTTTTACATATATAAGCTGTGGAAATTTGTTTGAAAATAACATTTTTAATTACAATTGGCGTTTTGGGGTCTTCTGTTGGCAGTATCTGTGATGTGAAGTGACATTTTCAAGCAGCAGGATGGAAGCAGAATGTAAGAACTTAAAACAGTTGTTCAGCTACTTTGTTACTGGCTGAGCATTAGAAGAGCTTAAATACATGAATATTTATATTGGTGTTTTAAAACAAGAGAGGGATTTGTCTATAGTGAATTTCTTTTGTTGCTCCAGATAACGTTTTAGAAAAATACTTCTTTTTTCTGGTGCTAACTTAGTATTATAACTTTTAAAGATCTTTTTTATGAAATATGACCTTCTGAGAAACCTGCTAATGACTGTCTTCATGTTTGCCTCCAAAGAGTTAGACAGCACCATTTGGCATGTGCATATGTGTGCAGGTGTACAATGCACACAAAAATAACAATTTGCTGTGGCCTGCAGGTCTGCTGTGATAGGCCCATAGTCCCGTTTCCACTAGCCTTTGCCACATTGTTGTGCATGACAGCCCAGTAGAACATTAGCAGGAGTTACTTGGAAAGGTAGAGAAAAGATTAGAAGTGGATTCATGTGTTTTTATAGAGTAGGGGTATATTTTCTTTTAAATGTATATTTTTTATTTTTCAATTACAGTTGACATATATTAATTCCAGCTATACACCCCAGTGATTAGACATTACATAATTTATTAAATGGTCATCCTGATAGATCTCCCATCCAGCTGACACCATACAAAACATTACTGACTATATTCTTGCTGTACTTTACATCCCCATGACTGTTCTGTAACAACCAATTTGTACTTTTTTTTAATCCCCACCTGAGGATATGTTTATTGTTTTTTTGGGGGGGAGGGGGGTGAGAAGCAGAGAGAGAAACATTGACATGAGAGAAGCATTAATCAGTTACCATCTGTACACAGCCTGACCAGGGATCGAACCTACAACATAGGTGTGTGCCCTGACCGGGAATGGAATCGGATACCTCCTAGTGTAAGGGATGATGTTCCAACCAACTGAGCAACCCAGCCAGACCCAATTTGTTCTTCGTAATCTGTTTACCTTTTTCACCCATCCTCCCAACACCCTCCCTCCCACCCAGGGTTTTGACTATCAATATTAAATAAGGTATTTAGAAATGAAATCAGTAGACCTGCATATTGATGTGGGTCTATCAGTAAGACCAAGCCTAGCTCTTGAAAGGGTCATTGTGATATAAAAATGACCTAGGTATTCTTCATGCACACTGCACACACACCAGATATCTTACTTGCTCACTCTTTTCTCCCCTAATTTTATCTGAAGCAATTCACTATATAAGCTGCCCTCAGAAAAACATATCTTCCTGCCTCTGTATCATCAGAGGAGAAATAGAAAAATGTGTGATCTTTTCTAGAGTTTTCTGTGAATCTTTATGAAAACCCTTTAACTGGTAGACATTTTTAAGTGGAATTTTTGTTAATTTCTGGAGGCAAACTTGAAATGTATTTATGAATAAAATCTTTCATATTAGCGTCATTTGAAGTAGAAATTATATGTTTTTGCATTCATCCTGTGTGAGCATTGTTCTTGAAATGGGACTGTATCCTCAGGGCCCAATTTAAAAAAACCAAATTAGGATATAAACTTTCTAAACAAAGGACACAGCTGAAAATTGCATCTGGCACCAATCCTAACTTTTTGTTTGTCCAAAATTGTCCTTTGAGCTTAGGAATTTTTAAGACAGTCTAGGGAGTATTCCTTTGTACATGCTTTATAAGTATATTATCCTTTCTGGGCAATCGATTTTAGATACAGTCCAAATACCAGTTGTAATGTGAAACATATTAGCCTGGTGAGCTGTTTATAGGTGGCCCTCACCTTGACACTAGAGATCTTCAGCATTAACCTGATTTGGCTGAGTAGGTGGAGTCAGGCAAAAAGCTTCTGGTGGCTTAGCTGCCCCAAATAAGCCTGGTAGTTCATCCAGTTAGTTGATCTGCACCAGCCTCCCCTTCTGCTGACTGCTGAAATTGTTCATTAAATCTTTATATACAAGATGACCCCAAAATTGTGCTCTTCAATTTGTAATTAATTAAGATATTTTTATAATTCTATATCGTATCATTTTCAGGCTTCCATTCTTCATTATTAGCCTGCAGCTAAATTGATAATTTTTAAAGTGCATTTTCGGGCCCTGGCACAGCCATAATTCACATGCAGATGTTTCTATTGTGTAAAATTCTGCTGCAAAATGGGTAGCTTTCCATGCTGTAGTCTGAGGTGAAGGCAGGCAGCTGTGTTGACTATAAGCAGCTGTGTCAGTGGAGTGACCTCCAGTTTCTGTCGCCCGCACAGCTGTATAGGCAGAGCCAGCACCAAAGGAACCGAAATGGCAGTCAGAACCAGTGTTTAAAGATTCTGACTCCAGGTGTCTGATAATGACCATGGTAAATGTGCTGCTTCTTCACCAGACTTTCCATGTCATGTCTGACCTGCTGTAGCTTTTCTTTAATCATTTCTTCAGTTTTTTGCTATTGTTGTCCTTTTTTCAGCAATATTTTATACTGTAATTAATTGTCTTCTTTATTTAGAGAGTATTATTGGTTATCTTCCCATCCTAAGCATAAACTGCTGAGAGGAAGAGGGTATCTTTTAGTGTTTTCTTTAAAGAACAAAAAAAGACTACTAATTCCTAGACATACCCAAATTCTATTTATATAAATTTTCCAGTTAAAATTGCTTATAACTAGAGATTCAGTAAGCTTATTCTTTTGCTTTTATATAATACAACTTATTTTCTTTAATATTTTAAAAAAGACAAATCAGGAAATCATAATTACTTACGATAACACCAGGGTAACATTTTTATTTAATTATAATGAAAGCATTGCGTATTCTTTCCGTTTCTTCAGAAATTTACTTGCCTCTATCCAGTGCCCTTGGGTGCACAGGGATTCTTCCAGCACCTGTTGGACGGGCCCTAGGGGAACAGTGACATGCAGATGTAGTTACTGCTGACTGTTTCAGCAGAGAAACATCTAGGTGGAGGCACACATATGAAAACTGTCAAACAGTTTTTAGGGTTGCAATTCAGTTTCTTAAGTTTAAGCACATTGAATGCATCTACTTGCTATAAATTTGTTTTAGATACCTTTATAATTCTATTCTTAAATGCTGATACTATTCTCTAAATTTCTGCCTAGGTCTGTAACCAGTGATGAAGGATCCATGAATGCATTCACAGGAAGGGGGTCACCTGGTAGGGGTCAAAAGACTAAAGTCTGTACCACACCTTCATCTGGTCATGCTGCATCTGGGAAGGACTCAAGCAGCAGATTGGCTGTTACAGACCCCACTCGGCCTGGTGCCACCACCAAAATCACCACCACCTCCACCTACATTTCTGCCTCTACACTTAAAGTTAACAAGAAAACCAAAGGGCTCATTGATGGCCTTACTAAGTTTTTTACACCATCACCTGATGGTCGCAGATCACGAGGTGAAATAATAGACTTTTCAAAGCACTATCGTCCAAGGAAAAAGGTCTCTCAGAAACAGTCATGCACTTCTCATGTGTTGGCTACAGGTACCACACAAAAGCTAAAACCTCCACCTTCTTCACTTCCACCCCCAGCCCCCATCTCTGGTCAGAGCCCCAGTTCACAAAAGTCCAGCACTTCCACCTCTTCTCCCTCCCCCCAGAGCTCTTCCAGCCAGTCCAGTGTGCCCTCCTTTAGCAGCCTTACCAGTAATAGCCAGTTGAAGGCACTCTTTGATGGACTTTCTCATATCTATACCACTCAGGGACAGTCTCGAAAAAAGGGACACCCAAGTTATGCACCGCCCAAACGTATGCGTCGTAAAACTGAATTATCTTCCACAGCAAAATCTAAAGCTCATTTCTTTGGAAAAAGAGATATTAGAAATAGGTTTATTTCTCACTCCTCCTCCTCTAGCTGGGGGATGGCTAGAGGACGTATTTTTAAAGCATTTGCTCACTTCAAGCGAACAACTTTCCTTAAAAAGCACAGGATGCTAGGCAGATTAAAATATAAAGTGACCCCTCAGATGGGGACCCCCTCACCAGGGAAGGGGAGCTTGACAGACGGAAGGATTAAACCTGATCAGGATGATGGTAAGCAAAAGGTCAAAGCTCCAACCAAACCTGCGTCCCATCCCTTTCTCCCCAACCCCGAAAAGAATAAATAAATCAATACCTATTTTTCACATAGGTCTTAGCTATTTCTCTTGTTCTCACTTCACTTTCATACAGAAACAGTGAAACTTTGACCTTTTTCTAATGCTGACTAAACCTCCAAAATGTTGTTTTTTCCAACTAATACTCTCCCACCTTTTATTATTTATCTCCATTTGTAGTGACACTAGGACCCCCAGATGCCTTCATAGCGTTGCTTATGGCTTTGTAGTCCCGCATGAGTAGCCACTGTCACGCCTCTGCCATGTCCTTTCCGTGCCGCCCCTTCAGCCGCAGTGCTGTGTGGCTGCACGCTGTCAGTGCCTCCAGCAGGGGGGATTGCCACTCCTCGGTCCCCTCTGCTCCATTGCTTTCTCATGACCAAGTTCATCCTGCTTCCTTCTCAGCAGAGCCTGATCTGTGATTCTGTGAGGTGTGCTTTTGGGTGCGAGTGTGTCTGTGTGTGTATTCACTTTAGGAAGAAAACTGATTTCATAATTTCATTTAACAAATTGGCCCATTACATTTGCTACCCTTTATAAAACAAAAAACAAAAAATGTGTCGTTTGGAAAAATGGTAGATTTTATTATCCCGAAAGTGGTAATGGGAATTCTTTAACTAGACTTCTAATCTTGGTTGAAAAGTCTGATTTTGCTTTTTGTTGCTCTTACTTTTCCTCATTTATTTATTGAGGCTATGAGAAGATGACAGTGATTATTCAAATAAAAATTTGGGTACAGCAGGGAAAGGGTACTGCTGGATCTTTGAACAGTGCTTATCTGTAAAAGCTTTAAAGCTTTAAAAAAAATCCCTATTTGCCCACTGTACTAATTTGGTGCCGTTTTGGTGATATACAGTGGTTATTCATGATTCAAGTCAGTGAGTACACTTTTTGCTGGTTTTAAATGACAGATACCGAAATCAAAATAAGCATCAAACAAGAAAGTACAGATATAAATGTGATTGGAAACAAGGATACCGTTACTGAAGAGGATTTGGATGTTTTTAAACAAGCCCAGGAACTTTCTTGGGAGGTAAGGCCAGGATACCGTATTTTCATACCAAGGATAATATGTGACTTTTCAGGATCTGTTTATTATGAAATTACTGCTTTGATTTTATAGACACTCCCCCTCAAGCTCCTTTGTGGTTCTTTAACCATGACCATGATCATTCTTGTTGACTGTGCTTTCAGAGACGTCTCTATTCTTAAAAGTTGGCACACACTCAGCTGGTCTCACAAACTAGACCAGAGCAGCAGTAGTTGAGGCAGATTTTGAAAAACACCTTCTAGTTGTGAAGGAATAGACTTCTGATTATTTTTGCTCAAATTTAGAAAATAGCAATTTAAAATCATGAACAAAAAGAAGAATATCACTTTTAAATTTACCAGTGCTTCTGCCAACACAGATGGCCAGCCATATGAGAAATGTCTCATAATTTTAACTCTTTGGCATTGATAAAGGCAATATTGTGTTGTATGATTGGTGACAGTCACTTTTATTTTTATTGTCCAGTAATTTTTTAAAATTATTCCACTTAAAATATTAACTCTACTTAGCTGTTTTCACCAAAACATTGAAAGATAAGGCTGTTGGATTTCTCAGAGACAAATTTATTATGGATTGTGAATTTTGTATGTTGGTAGACCGCATTCAGTTGGCACAGTACTCGGGGATAAACTCCCTACCCCACCTCACTTCCTTTTCTAGGAAGGGGAGGTATCTATAGGCTCTTAAACTTTATTTTAGTAACAGCCCTTTGGGCTAAATACTTTGATGGTTTCTATTTTAGGGGTTATTGAATATTTCCATTCCTAATTCTACCCCTACAGTATGCTTTGTATTGTTTTTCCTTTGGCTATGATAAATGTCAAAACTGTCTCTAGTCCTTAAGATTCTAAGTCCTCAGATATAACCGTTTTTTAAGCCCACTTCTGACATTCATAGATAAACAGGGTGAGCAGCAGGCCATTATCTGAATGATACTATAAGTCTAAAGCCCTCTCTTCCCAACATGCTAACACTGGCTTTTTCATTTAAAGGACATTTCTTGTCTGTCAGGCACTGTGCTAGACTTGGAATACCACAGTGAATCAGACGGACAAAGTTCTTAACCTTGTATAGCTCACTGCACAGGAGAGGGCAGGTGTGAAACTGCAGACTTCACAGTTGATTATGTCATTACAATTGGAATAAATGTTACTTCATGGAGGAGCAGGGGACTGTAAGAGTCTATAAAATAGCCTCATCATCTTTTAATTTCCTCAGTTTCAACATATTGCAACAGATTATTGAATTCAGTTCAATAGACATTTGTATTTATATCATTCTATCTTGCTGATACCCTTTTTTAGGGTATTTGTTTATGTATAAATCTAATGCAAAGTTGATTATTATTTCACAAGGCCTTTAAAGTCTTTCCAAAAACATGAAAATATTATTGAGATTAGGGTTCTGGTTTTGATAGGTTTTCATATCCGGTGGTGAAAGAACAAAAATGTAAGTAAGGAGATCCTCTTCTGATACTTACATTTTACTTTTTTTTTAAGATTTTATTTATTTATTTTTAGAGAGGGAAGGGAGGGAGATAGAGAGAGAGAGAGAGAAACATCAATGTGTGGTTGCTGGGGGTCATGGCCTGCAACCCAGGCATGTACCCTGTCTGGGAATCGAACGTGCGACACTTTGGTTTGCAGCCCGTGCTCAATCCACTGAGCTACGCCAGCCAGGGCTACATTTTACTTCTTTTCTTTTCTTTTTCTCTGACAGAAAATAGAATGTGAGAGTGGAGTGGAAGACTGTGGCCGGTACCCTTCTGTAATAGAATTTGGGAAATATGAAATCCAAACCTGGTACTCCTCGCCTTACCCACAGGAATATGCAAGGTAATGGAATAAGCCTGCAGGTACATAACTTTAATGTCATATATGTGAGGAAGGAAAAATCTTGATTCTAAAGCAGTTATTTATTATCTTCAGAACATAAATTTTGATAGTAGGTTATAAGTGCTTCCAAAACTATTTTGCCAGTGTCTGTTTTATAATATTCACTGTTCTATGTAAGCTTCTATCACTCCTTAGTCACATAGGCATTGTGAACTTTGCCTTTTAACTTCTAGACCATGCTTTCTCTTTTTGGTTAATTGGGTAAGTGTTATTTGCACATGAAACAAAATCAGGGAAGAAAAATAGCCATTGTAAAATATTTGGTAGTTTCTCCTCAGTTGCCATTTTCCTAATAAGTTAAGAAAAGTAATTTGTCTCATCTATGATTTTGGGCATTTTATTTTTGAGTTTTTTACTGAAATGTAGCAAAAGAAGGAAAAATGGGAGAATGTAGGTCATTGTGGGTAGCCTTAAGAGACTGTTCCCCAAATCTTCAAAGCTGTCTGTGACTAACTGGTTGAACGTGAGGAGAAAATAATGGTACTAGAGTTTTCATTTGTCTTGAACTAAGATTCATTGTGAGATTGTCCTGAACTAACATATTTTAAAATGGGTATCATGAGAGCAGATTTTTTCTTCAGGTACATCACGGTGTACTTTATTAGTATCTTCTCAAATTTTTTAGCCTGCAAAGTTTCTGGTAATCACACTCGTGCTTTTTGTGTATAATAAATATTGTCCTTTTCTCAACCATGTGGGCCAGTCATCTAACTGGAGAGAATGGGGAGCGTGTTCTAGAAGTTAAGTGGCAAACTGTCAGGAGTCTTGATTTCTCTTTCCAGGTTATGTCACTCGTCTCTGTGTTCGTGAACAATTTGTTTTAAACCACCAATGAGCTTAAATTTGCATGGGTAATCAATCACGTCATTGTATTCTGAGAGCTTCAGATAAGATGTGCATACAAGTCCAAGATTTCTTTCTTTTTTTTTTTTTTGATTTATTTATTTATTTATTTTTAGAGAGGGAAAGGAGGGGGGAGGGGGAGAGAGAGAGAGAGAGGGAGAGGGGGAAAGAGGGAGAGAGAGAGAGAGAGGGAGAGAGAGAGAGAGAGAGACAGAGACATCAATGTGTGGTTGCTGGGAGCCATGGCCTACAACCCAGGCATGTGCCCTGACTGGGAATCGAACCTGCGATACCTGGTTCGCAGCCCGTGCTCAATTCACTGAGCTACACCAGCCAGGGCACAAGTCCAAGATTTAAAGTTACATTTATCTGAGTTTGTACCTAACTGTCCTCAAAAATATTTCTCCTCCCTCTTATACCCCAAAGACCTTGAAAGTGCTTCTAAACATCCACTCAAGTGTGATAGGGTCCAAGTGAAATATGTTATAATTTTTTAAAGTTCTTACTTATTTTTAGAGAGGAGGGAGGGAGAGAGAAAAAGCGAGAGAAATATTGATCTGTTACCTCTCACACGTGCCCTGACTGGGCACCCAACCCACAACCCATCCATGTGCCCTGACTGGGAATTGAACCAACCACTTCTTAACTTTGCAGGACCATGCTCAACCGAGTCAGGCAGGTTAGCGCAAAATATGCTACAGTTTTTAAGGAGAAAAAGTCAGCAGGGGAAAGAAATCTATTTGTCTAATGTTACTCAAAAGAGTCAGCAGAATTGGTAGAAACAAACAAGATCTTTTGACTTCCCTATGCTTACTGCTTTAGACTATATAAAACTATGATAATAACTTTAAAGTTATCTCATCCTTAAATATAAGTGGAAACAGCTATATACTAGGACTCTTAAGCCTTTTAAGTATGAAGATTACTTTTTAAAATAATCACTTCTTTCTGAGTAAAAGGTTATTATAGTTACATCACTGACCACATATACTATTGAAATGTGAAATTAAATGTGAAATTTGATAAGTACACATGGCCACCTGAAGGATGCTGTCCTATGGTTGACTTTTAGAGGAGTGGTTTCAGTTCCAAAACCTTTCTTTCTTTAGGACATTTCTAAGGAAACAAATGATTTGTTCACAAACTTAAGGCAACAAATATTATGTTGAAAAATAATGTAAGGTTTGTACATTCTCTTACTTTTTTTTTGTAATTACTTCTTTCAAGTGCTATTATACAGCCTTTCTATGACTTAGAGAAAATTGAACAGTATTTATTATTTTCCCCTGAACAGAATAATTAACCTGAAAGACTCTTTGATTTTTAAATTTTAACAGATTACCAAAGCTTTACCTGTGTGAATTCTGTCTTAAATATATGAAAAGTAAAAACATTTTGTTAAGACACTCAAAGAAATGTGGATGGTTTCATCCTCCAGCAAATGAAATTTACCGAAGGAAAGACCTTTCAGTATTTGAGGTAAGCATGTGTAAATAAACTCAGCTGTTGAAACTTAGTATTTCAAATTGTTAACTATGTACTGAATTGTTTGTAGAAGGTGCAAAGTATATTCAGTTGTGACATTGAAATTCAGACTGCTCTTTAAAATATCTCCACATTTTGGAATGTTTAACCATATTAAGGGACCATTTAGATAGATAATAAATTCCTACTTTATCATATTAACTTTTTTTGTCTTCCTCCAAATCTCTCTCTGCACCAGATATAGTCACCAGTGGATTTATGATCTCCTCATCGCTTTGTAAATTCTCTCTCCTTTGGCAGGAGACATCAGCTATGCTCTGCAGCTCCAGCCAATGTCTGGCAGGTGCTCACTCTTTCAGGGAATTGAGCAGCTGTACATATCTCCTCAATACACAGCCACCTGTGTTTCCGTCATTTCTTGGCAGAGTTGGTAATCCTTTTGGTGAGACCCCAGCAGATGTTCGACACCCCCCCCCCCCCGCCGCCCCTCATCTAGGTGGATGGCCACCCCTGGAGAACTCTGCTGTTCACAGGAACCCCTTGTGGCTGTGGCTGTCGCTGTGGGTCTTGACAATTTTGTGTTTTCAGAATTGATTTAGTAGCAAAAGGTTTTTTGCCTCTATGTCATTTCATTGTTTAATCATCCTCTACTGTCAGTTTAAGGAATCCGATTTAGCTGAGAGAGTTGTACCTTGAGGAGACCATACCTTTCTTTCCTGTTATTGCCTCTTCACAGGGCTTCTTTCTTTCCTTTATTCTCTGCACTCCAGTCAAGAATTTCCTTCTCCCTGCTTTATTTTCTTCTCTGTTACCCATCTTGGTGCATTATTTCCATTCCTGGGTGCTCAGAACAAGCCTTCCTTGCACAGTAAACACGATATTTTCTTCATCTGAAATACAGTTTTACTTTAGGATTCTCTTTTTCTGAATTGTTCAGACTGAAATTTATTATTCTGCCCCATGTTTCTCTTTAGTTCTGGCCTATAATGTCTTGCATTACATTTAATATAGGGAGGGTCATACATAGGTTTCTGTCGTGGATCAGCCTTCCCCTCTCAGACAAGCTTTGGCCCACTTTTTCCCAAGACTGATCGGAGAATACAGCTAACTCCAGCTGTGTCTTACAGATTTTTAAAGGCCCTCTTCCTGGTTATATCAGGCTCTTTTGGCAATCTTAAAGAAAGAAGGGTATTGTTGCTTAGAAGATTGGATGTTAGTGCTTACTAAAGTATAGGTACAGGGTTTCCAAATTTGGGCACTATTCATATTTTAAGCTGGATATTTTTTGTTGCAGGGGGCTGCCTTATGAATTGTAGGGTGTTTAGCAGCATCCATGGCCTCTACAACAAAATGCCAATAATACCAGCACACCGCCCCCCCCGCCGCCAGTTCTAACAAACAGAAGTGTCTCCATATATAGCCCATGTCTTTTGGGGGGCAAAATCACACCAAGTGAGGATGACTGGGCTGGGGGAAGCCTAATGCGAGTTGCTTGTCCTTCCTGTTGTTAGTCTCAGGGTGCCACCCAGCCAGCCCCAGCCAGCTGAGACTGCAGAGCTATTCTCAGTTGAGGTTTAACTCACATTCAACTTTCCTGTTGGCTCCTTCCTCAGTGCCTTGGATCCTTTCTTTTAACCAAACTAAAATGAAATTACTGTCTCATTGTTCCCCTGTAAAACAGAACAGTTGTTGGCTTTTAAGTCATTGTTAAATAAATTACCATGAATCTGTCTATGGGGCTACAGTTTTCATAAATCCAGGAGAGTTTTCTTGAGGGTAAGAGAATCAGTCTTGTCAGGCTGGTGATAATGGTCTGTTATTTCAGGGCAGGTGCTTTTGGAATACACAGAGATGAGAGGGAGGAAAGTCAGAAGCAGGTCTGTAAAGCTTATTTATAAAAATAATTGAAGGAAGAATTCTGGTCAAGATGGCAGCATAGACAGACATGGCTTGCCTGCTTGCACAACCACATCAAAATTATAACTAAATTGTAGAACAGCCATCTCTCGGCACTGTCAGAAATCCAGTTGAATGGAAGTCTGACAAGTATGGAATTAAAGAAACCACCTCCATGCAGACTGGTAGGAGGGGCACAGTTGCAGAACGAGCTGGTCCCACATCCACATGCTGTGGATGAAAATTCAAGAGGGAAATCCCAGGAGTGAGGAGTCCCAGCCCAGGTTTCCAGTCCCAGGAAGATAAATTCTCACAACTTCTGGCTGCAAAAACCAGTGGGAATTGTGTTGGTGGAAGAAACTTCTGGAGTACCAAGCAGTTCCTCTTAAAGAACCCACACACGGACTCACCTTTTCAGACTCACTCCCTCTGAGCTCCAGCACCAGGATGGCAGCTTGAAGGGCACCAGAGGCATACTGGGCTGAGGCCATTGTCCTTTTTCTGAGCCCTTCCTTCCTAGAGCCACAGAGCCTGGAGGCTGGTACCGTATCTTATGGAGTGATCAATCTGTCTAACACTGTTTGACTTGCCTTGGAGATCCTCAGAGACTCCACCCCACCAAATTTACAAGCCCACCCAAACTGCTTTTCCATATGAATGGCTGGTCTGGGCTCAAACTGCACAACTTCTAAATCCTCTCAAATAAGCAATAGCTGACTTCAGTGAGCCCCAGGCCCAGCTCTAGCAGCAGGCAGCATAGATTCTCAGATTGGTTTCACCTGGCAATCTCCAAGCTCAGCACAAGTAGCAGCCATCTCAAATTGCTTTTTAGCTCAGGAAGGCTGGCCCTGGTCAAAACACAGGTGGGGGCAGACCTTGGCCTGCCCCTGCACGGCTGATCCTCCACGGAGGGTGGAAGTTGGTGGTCAGTGGTCACAGCCAGTCCTTGCAGCTCATTGGCCTGGATTAATTCTTCCCATGGATCTGCCAACAACAACAAAGGTTCAACTACAAGAGCAGGGTGTACTCATCTCACAGGACACACCTCAGTACCTAGCTTGGGTGATAGGGTCAGCTGTGCCACTGGACCCTACAGGACACCTACTATATTAAACCATGCTACCAAGACAGGGAGTCATAACAGCTCTACCTAATACATAGAAACAAACACAGGGAGCCTGCCAAAATGAGTAGACAAAGAAACGTGGCCCAGATGAAAGAACAGATCAGAACTCCAGAAAGAGAGTTAAAGGAAATGGAGATAAGCAATCCATCATTTGCAGAGTTCAAAATACTGGTTATAAGGATGCTCACGGAACTTAGTGAGGACTTCAGCAACATAAAAAAGATCCAGTCAGAAATAAAGGATTCACTAATTGAAATAAAGAACAATTTACAGGGAAACAACAATACAGTGGATAAAGCCAAGAATCAAGTCAATAATTTAGAACATAAGGAAGCAAAAAAAAAAAAACCAATCAAAACAACAAGAAGAAAAAGGAATCCAAAAAAGTGAGGGGTAGTATAAGCAGCCACTGGGACAACTTCAAGAGCTCCATCATTTACATCATAGGGGTGGCAGAAAGAGAAGAGAAAGAGCAAGATGTTGGAAATCTATTTAAAATAATGAAAGAAAACTCCCCTAATTTGGTAAAGGACATAGACATGCAAATCCAGGAAATACAGAGAGTCCCAAACAAGATGGACATAAAGAGACCCACTCCAAGATACATCATAATTAAAATGCCAAAGGTTAAAAAAAGGAGAGAATCATAAAAGCAGCAAGAGAAAAGTAGTGAAGTTACTTACAGGGAAGTTCCTATGAGACTGTCAGCTGAATTCTCAAAAGAAACTTTGCAGACCAGAAGGGATTGGCAAGAAATATTCAGTCATGAAAAGCAAGGACCTACATCCAAGATTGTTTTACCCAGCAAAGCTATCATTTAGAATCGAAGGGCAGAGAGTTTCCCAGAAAAGAAAAAAACTAAAGGAGTTCATCATCACCAAACCATTATTATATGAAATGTTAAAGGAGTTTCTTTAAGAAAAAAGATGAAAACAAGAACAATAAAATGGCAAAAATATATATCTACCAATACTTGAGTCAAAAAAAGAAGTTAAGCAAATGAGAAGAACAGAGACAGAATCATGGGTACAGAGAGCATTTTGGTGGGTACAGATGGGAGGGTGGTGGGAGAGGGTGGCTGAAGAGGTGAGGGGATTAAGAAGTACAAATAGGTAGTTACAGAATAGCCATGGGGATGTAAAGTACAGTACAGGAAATGGAGTAGCCAAAGAACTTATAGAGACGACCTATGGACATGAACAATGGTGGGGGGATTGCCTGAGGGAGTGAGGGAGGCTGGGTGGGGGGAGCAAAAGAGGAAAAATCAGGACAACTATAATATCAAGATCAATGAAATATAATTTTTAAAAAATTAACAAAAATGGGACTTGCAGCCAAGATGGAGGCATAGGTAGACATATTCTGGCTCTTCACACAACTAAAAGATGGACAAAGGCAAATTTAAAAACAAAATACAACCAGAACTGCCAGAAAAGTGAACTGTATAGAAGTCTGACAACTAAAGAGTAAAAGAAACATTCATCGACACAGGTAGGAGGGGCAGAAATGGGCAGCTGGGGTGGAGAGGACTTGTAGTTAGGCGGTGGTTGGTGGACTGGGAGGAACAACTGGGGAGCAAGACAGACTGGGTAACCTAGGGTTCTAGCATAGTGAAATAAAGCCTCAAAACCTCTGATTAAAGAAACCTATGGGGGTTGCAGTGGTGGGAGAAACTCCCAGCACCACAGGAGAGTTCGTTGGAGAGACCCACAGGGTCCTAGAACACACCCACCTGGAAATCAGCACCAAAAGGGCCCTATTTGCTTGTGGATACCAAACGAAGTGACTGAAAGCCAGTCAAGAGCTGAGTAAGTGACATTGTTCCTTCTCTAACCCCTTCCCCACATACAGCAGCACAACGCAGCAACGTGGGTTGTCCCACCCTGGCAACAGGTGGGACACTGCCTTTTGGCTTACTATGTAACAGGTGTACCAAGACAAAAAAATATGGCCCAAATGAAAGAACAGATCAAAGCTTCAAAAATAGAACTAACTGATGAAGAGATAGCCAGCCTATCAGATGAACAGTTCAAAACACTGATAATCAGTATGCTCACATATATGGTTGAATATGGTCACAAAATGGAGGAAAAAGTGAAGGCTATGCAAAGTGAAATAAAGGAAAATATACAGGGAACCAACAGTGATGGAAAGGAAACCGGTACTGAAATCAACAATTTGGAGCAGAAGGAAGAAATAAACATTCAACCCGAACAGAATGAAGAAACGAGAATTCAAAAAAATGAATGAAGGGTTAGGGACATCTGGGACAAGTTGAAACGTTCCAATATCTGAATCTTAGGGGTGTCAGAAGGAGAACAAGAGCAAGAAATGAAAACTTATTTGAAAAAATAATGGAGAATTTCCCCAGTCTGGCAAAGAAAATAGACTTTCAGGAAGTCCTGGAAGCTCAGAGAGTCCCAAAGAAGTTGGACCCAAGGAAGCACAAACCAAGGCACATCATAATTAAATTACTCAAGATTAAAGAGGAGAGAATCTTAAAAGCAGCAAGAAAAAAGGAGATAGTTACCTACAAAGGAGTTCCCATAAGACCATCAGCTGATTTCTCAGAAGAAACCTTGCAGGCAAGAAGGGGCTGGAAAGAAGTATTACAAGTCGTGAAAGGCAAGGACCTACATCCAAGATTAGTCTGTCCAACAAAGCTATCATTTAGAATGGAAGAGCAGATAAATTGCCTACCAGATAAGGTCAAGTTAAAGGAGTTCATCACAACGTCCTTATTATATGAAATGTTAAAGGGACTTATCTAAGAAAAAGGTGATCAAAAATATGAATAGTAAGATGACAACAAACTCAGAGCTATCAACAACCGAACCCCCCAAAACAAAAACAAATGAAGTAAAAACTAGAACAGGAACAGATTGACAGAAATGGAGATCACATGGAGGGCTATCATCGGGGAGAGATAGAGGGAGGGGAGGAATGCAGGGAAAGGTACAGAGAATAAGTAGCATAAATGGTAGTTTCAAAATAGACAGGGGGAGGTTAAGAATAGCATAGGAAATGTAGAAGCCAAAGAACTTACATGTATGACCCATGGAGATGGATTGTGGGGGGATGCAAGTGGGAGGAGGGTGCATGGCTAAAGGGAAAAATGGAACAACTGTAATAGCATAATCAATAAAATATATTTGAAAAAATAACAAAAATATAATTGAAGAAATTAAATAAGGACCAGGTTCCCAATTCTATAATCTAAGTTAATACTTATTGGAAACCATGTAGGAAACTTTTCTTACTAGTTTCCTAAGTGTCTTATAAAATAAATAAAGAATAAACACAGATTACTACTTTCCTGTCTTCTCTTTATCTATCACTCTTGAAAGCATGCTATATTATACCTTTCACAACTGGTAGGATTTTGCTTCAGCATTGTCATCTCTATTTTTCTGGTTCACAGATACGTCTGTGTCCTTTTTGTAATGTACTACCATTTCCAAAAAGACCATACTCCCAAATACATAAAACCTTTCTTTAATTAAAGAGAGAATTGTATCCTCTGTGCCCGTTGCCCATATTTGATTATGTTGCTATGTGTGGGACCTAGGTTTTATCCAAGGGAAATAGTTATATGAAGTCTAAAAATAATTTGTGCAATATGAGAACCTTTATGGTCCACAGGAGACTCAAGAACAGTCAAGTTCATTGTTAAAGAGCTCTGGTTAGCAAATACCCATTTCCCCTAAGAAAAGTGCTGGGGAAATTCTTCTTGAATCTGCTCTGATTTCTGTTTTCAACAAGTAACTACATTTGATCAAAGAAATTGGCATCTGTGCTTAGCCTCCTGTCTATAGCCATCAGTATCACAGCTTGACTCTTTTATTTTCAAGAGAAGTAGACTGTAATCATGGTACTTATTGTAGGCTGAAATTCATCTCACTTTCTCTGTAAGTATTCCCAACATAGAAATTTTATCTTTTCCAATTATATTTGAAATGATGCTTGGGATAAAACCAAAATGGAAGAAGCCTCTTTTGCTAATCCTCACTTGTGAAGAGTCAGAGTAATACAGTTCATTTATTTTATTTTTATGTGAAGCCCTTTTGAAAACAACATAAAGTTTAACTTACTTGAACAGTATTTTGATTTGTTTCCATTTCTTAATTCAGGTTTACTTGATTGAAGCAGAGAGGTTCATGCCTGATTATTTTTTACTCATAATAATTGCAAATAAAAATTACTCCTTTGTTAGTGGTTTGGCCTTTCTTCAGGTAGCTTAAAGAGAAATTCAAGCTATCTTAAATTTAAGCTATCTTAAATTTACCCCAATTTAAGGGAGAAGGTGGAATTCTGATTTGCCAAGTGACATTTATTTTCTGTTTAACTTTATACTTGTTTAATATAGTGTTTTAATCTCTTAGTTTGGGATTTGGAAATAAAACTATATACTTTCCAAACACCATATAAAAACAATTTTAGATTGAGTGGTATTTCTGTGTTAAATAATGTTGTCTGTTTCTCTTTTCTAGGTTGATGGAAATATGAGCAAAATTTATTGCCAAAACCTTTGCTTGTTAGCCAAGCTCTTCCTGGACCACAAAACGCTGTATTATGATGTCGAGCCATTCCTTTTTTATGTCCTAACAAAAAATGATGAAAAGGGCTGTCATCTGGTTGGATACTTCTCTAAGGTAAAACAAGAGCCTGTGTGACCTTTGTTGTCTTTTTCAGAATGTTTTTGGTAGAGCCCAATGCTCTGAATAGGATGAGCTTTTTATCACTTTAATTTGAGTAAGTGACACATATTCCTCAAAAGCTCAGGTTCTTGTTCAGAGCTCATTAAAAAAATAAAAACAATATGAACATTGTGCCTACGAAGTGTGCAAAGTACCTCAGCACTGTTTGCTCTCCTGATTGTCAGCCTCTGTATAATGTTGTAATTGCTGCTTACAGACCATCTAGCATCTTTGACTTTCTAAATGTTAAGGCTATTTCCTTTTTCCTCCTAAGCGGTGTCAACATGAAGGTCTCAGTGTAATGTAGCATTTGAGAGGTAATTCTCATTTATACTCAGTGCATTCCCTCTGTGGTCATCAGTATCTCAGTGAATTGGAACATTGACATTTGGATAGTCAGGCTGATATAGTAACTGGTTTTACTCTTTCATCTGTTACTCTCTGTGCTATTGTTTTAAGATCTGAAGTAGCCTCTGCTTTAGAAGGCCTAAGTATCTCCAACTGTTAATGTAGGGAAGCCCTTGCTTTATGGAATGTGTATAGTTTCCTCCCCCCCCACTGGTTCAGAGCGATTCTCTCACATTGTTCTGTCCAAAGGCTTTTGAGAAACAACTCATATGTAGTAAAGGAAAACTTGAGTTTGGAGTACTTACTACCAGGTAATGACCTTAACTATTCTTAGGCATATAGGAAATAGTTTAATGTGCCAGGATGATAATTATTCAGGCAAAAGGTAAAATGATCCAAACTCTGTGTTTTCTTTCTTTTATGTTATATTTTTTATATTAGGTGATAAGTGAATTTTAATGACTCTACTCTTGTATAAGTGGAATGCTTTATAAAAATGTCATTTTCAGGGAACAACTAAAGATAGAATATTAATGCAGATCCATTACAGACTGAAAGATGACAATCAACACAAAACTTTAGGAAATCTACTTATATAATTTATAAAACACCTTACCTTTTCAATAGGTAATAAAGATCTTTTTCTCTAAAAAGTTGAAAAGAATAGTAGTAATGATTGTCCTTCCTATTAGAACATGGTGCTCTTTAAATGCATATGAGTTTAAACATCGATGGTTAAAGGTGCCCACTGTCCCTGTCCTGCTCAGGCTGGCCCCTGGGTATGGTTGGTGGTGACTCTTGTGGTTTGAGTCTCTGCCTTTCTTCCTCCTTGAGGGCCTGCATTTTACTCAGAACAAACTAAACTTTTTCTGTTTTGTCCCATTTCTTTTGTAGTATAGCAACAACCGCTGTAATGCCTTACCATACTTGGAATTCCTTTTTTCTTTTTTTTTTAAATAAAGTATGAACTTTTTTTTAAAGATTTTATTTATTTATTTTTTAGAGAGGGAAGGGAGGAAGAAAGAGAGAGAGAAACATCAATGTGCGGTTGCTGGGGGTCATGGCCTGCAACCCAGGCATGTACCCTGACTGGGAATCGAACCTGCGACACTTTGGTTTGCAGCCTGCGCTCAATCCACTGAGCTATGCCAGCCAGGAAATTCTAGTATTCTTTGACAGTGTAGTGGAACAAAAATTCACCTGAAAATTAACCACGTTAAAAGACTAGATACAAATCAAACTGTATTCTAAATGTCAATTGAAATGTGAAGGATTATGGCCCTTTGGAGTTATACTTAAAACCAAATTCTAGAGGTTACAGCCAAAGTGGCCTAGATGACCTAGAAAAATTCATTGTAAATTGTTGCATGCATATGACTTTCCAAGCACATAACAGACTGCACTAAACAGGAGAGAGAAAAGGAGCAGTTATTTTATCCGAAGTTCAGGAGTCAGCTGTAATAACGTGTTAAGGGGAGGCATCGGTGGGGAGAGGAACACTGTTGAACTGGATTTCAAAAAATCTCTTAGGAATAGGAAGGCATACTTTGGCATAAAAGAATGGCATCAAGGATAAATCCTTTTAACCTGTGTAGATTTCTTTTTAGATAGAATGACCAATTTGCCTAACTTGGCAAAGTAGACTAATTATTCAAACCTTTGCCACTGATGCTCACAGTCAGTGATGGACAATCCTGTTTTTGAGGAAAACTGATGTGTGTAGTTCTTCCTCCTCATTTCATAGAGACTCCACAGATAGCTACAAATGTGCAAAAGTTGGAAACACATCTTTTTCACAAAGAAATCTTTAATTCTGCCCTGTAGGATTTTTTCCACAAACATTTCCTGTGATCTTTCAAATAGGTTCATTAAAGATCTGGGTGTTCTGAAGTAATTCTTTGATGTGGTTAGTACCATTTGCGGTCAATCTTATTTGTGGTTTTTATTTGGCCAGAGCATTCACAGCCTCAAAAGCCCTTACCAGATCTTCTCTGTGTAGGTTTTGGCGGCTTCTGTGTACTCAATAAAATATTGCTGCTCTGATGCCACGGAAAATTGCAACTCTTCCCTAGCTATAAGAACATATTCTTCCCAATCTTCCTTTTGGTTTCAGGCTGTTTTTGGCCTCACTTTTGTTTGGAGGCATCGGGGTTTCTTGTTGCTGTTGTCTCTTTTGTTTTGTATTCCTGGTTTGAAATGCAGATTAATTATTTCTCTAGCTTTTTACTTAGACTTTTTATTCATAGGAGAAATGTATTTGTGCAAATCTACCCCCACACATGCTATTTCAGTTTCATTGGGGCATTTGCTCAAAGGCAGGAGACATAACTGCTACTGCAGAGTTGTAAGTTATTTAGCAAGGTAGCCGGCTAACTTACCGCTCTGGGTCAGCTGTGTTTTGTTTTGTTTTGTTTTGTTTTTAACCTGTCCCCCCAAGTTATTTGAGCATTTCTTCCATACTGCCTGTGTTATTTCATTCAGCTCATATTTCCTTGGATTCTTTGTTCATATTTTATGGTACTGACTTCCAAGAATAAAGACATAAATGAAAGGCATGCCTGGAGTTCATGATTTGTCGTTAGCTGCTGGTTTGGTTGATTAACAGTACGATTATTCTGCTTGATCCTTACCTAACACTTCGGCTCACCTAAGTGGACTATTGTACAAGGACAGTGGCAGGTGCAGGGAATTGCCCACTTCAGCAGAGTTCTGACATACTTGATCTGTTTCTCCTTCCCGCAGGAAAAGCTTTGCCAGCAGAAGTATAATGTCTCCTGCATAATGATCATGCCCCAGCACCAAAGGCAAGGATTTGGACGGTTTCTCATTGATTTCAGTAAGTGAAGTGCTTTATTTACTTTCCTGATCCAGCGAGCTGATGGCTGTGAAAGGAAGGAGTAACATAAAACTTTATTTAACCTTTGTTGTTTTTATCAATACATAATGGGTTTTCTATTTATATTTACATAGCTTAGAAAATCTTCCTCAAGTGAAAAATTTACTGCTGCTCACTTCTGTACTCCAGGAAATTGAGACTAGATCTCTCAGCAGAGTCACTAGCTTACAAAGCCATTACCCTGAATGAACTGGCAGAATTGCATTCCATTCCACAGTGTTCATGCTCATTAGCACCAAAAGAGGCAATTATTTGCGATTAAAGCCAAAGAAAGTGTTATTTAAAAAGATTTTCAGCTTTCTAAAATTTTGCCTATGATCTTCTACAGCACAGAGCAGGAAAGGAATATTTCTCTTTAGAAAAACAGTTCTTTAGGTAGCCTGTTCTTTGAGCCTCTCTAGAAGAAATAACTGTCTTATTCACTTCCGTTTTCTGTTATGGAAATAATTACAATGTTTACATCTAGAGGTTGCCCAAGAAACATTTTTATACGTATTGGTATCTTCTGAGTCTCCTCAATTAAAACTGCAGTAATATATGAAAGTATGCACAGGATAATGTGAGAAAATGGTAGTGTTTTTCTCCTTCTTTGTATTACATTGCATGTGCAAATGTAGTGGCACTGCAATGCCTGGATAACACAGAGGCCAGGTATCCTGTGAAAATGCTTATTTCTGACAGTGTCAAAATCTGTCACTAAAAACCATTTGCTTCTTCTTTGCCAGATTGTAGTTTGTCTTCCTTTAAACTGAAAGAAGAAAAATTCAGGAAATTGTAAAATTCATTCAGGGCATCAAATGCAAAAACTACAATGTAAATGTACCCAAGGAAAATCGTGAAGGAATATGTTGAGTCCAAATCTGTATTATTAATCATTGAAATATTAAAGTCTGGGTGTAAAATAACTGTATGGCAGTTTTAGACTGATCTGTATGATTTATTGACATTGAAGGATATTTTTTGAAGTTTTTTTATTGATTATCTTTGTATTTTGGATAATATTTCTAGTTATTAATTCATTACCCCAGTCTTGTCCTTTTCTAATCTAGTTTTCCCTTGGAGGGCCATCTTATCAGGACTCACCATTTTTATTTTAGAGTCCTAGCTGTAATCACTTCAAAGGGCAAATCTGACTGTCTTGTTCTAGTGTGTTTTTGCAGCCAGCCATAAGTTGTTCGTAAATATTATAATTTCTGCTATGTATAGCAGCCATTCAAGGCTTCAAGTATTGATACTCTGCATGTCTAGAGAATAAGGCAAACTTCTCAGTTCAGTGTTCAAGGTCTTCCAACATCTTCCATCTTTTGTCTGTGCAGCCCCTTCCCTGAAATGACCACTTCCTCTTTTCCATCCTCTGTTTTTTCAAAACCTTAGTAGGACAATGTACTCAGTAATCTGCATGGTTTTTGTTGATTCAAATTGAATCTTCAAAGTGATATGGTCACTGCCCACAATAATTTTCTACCTAAAATTAAAAAGGGACTTGAACTTATCAGGTAAAAAATGCAAGTCACCAGATATATTAGCATCTTATTTGTACCAAACCAAAGATAAACTCCTTGGCTGCTAAGGTTTTAAAGAAGATAGAGTAGACTGCTGAAGAAATTGGTAGCATTCTTTGGAGTTACTTAAAATAATAGTAGATAAACATCTTTCTAGGATGATTTAGATACAATCTTTTGTAAAATGAGGAGTTAAACCCCCTCTCATAATTCTTATCACCCTCATAATTCAGAACTCAGAGTGAAACAGATTAACCAGAATTATGGGTTTTCTAAAATCTGCTGTTAAGGGGCCTTTTAGTAGTTATATTTATTTTATTTATATTTTGTACATGAGCCTGAGGGTCTTTGGTTAAGGGATGTATTTTTAATAATGCAATGAAAGTTGCAAGGCAGGAAAAATCTTTACTTTGCAGTTGCTAGTTTAGGAAGTTGAAACTACCTGTCTGCTTACACACTGGATCCTAGGCCTCGGGAAAATACAATGTGTGTGTAGTGTGTGTGCACAAAGAACTGGGAGTCCACGGCTGTGAATTGAACACTGTTCTCCAGGCCAGTCAAGAGAGGTGGAGTGGTCATCCATCAGGTCAAATACCGCTTTTGGAATAAATTGTCTCTCTCTTCCTAGGACAGCAGGTCCTGTCAGGGTTTGTCTGAGCAGGGGTCATTTGCAGAGCGTGGCCAGGCTGACTAAAGGACCCCGACTCCCAGCCTGCTCAAACCACCTCCAGGGTAGAGGAGGGTGCCAGTGCCATTGGTTGAAGCTGATATCTCTCTCTCCAGTCTTTGACTGAGAAGGGGAATCTTGAGTAATCTATAGTAACTAATTAGTAACTAAATTCAACATGAGTAATCAAGAATAATCTATGTTATAGATTATGGTTATGATTTTTTGACTTTACAGTAGTATGAAAGCAATACTTATTTCAATACAAACTGTACTTTGAATTTCGAATTTTGAACTTTTCTAGGGCTGCTGCCCTGTCCTCTCGTAACACTGGGCAGTGGCAGCAAGCCGCAGCTCCCAGTCAGCCACGTGGTGACGAGGGCCAGCCCCCAGTATTCCAGTGCCTGTGTTGTCAGGCTTTTTTAATTTTTTGGATAATGTGTTCTGAGTACATGTAAGGTAGAGCTAAGCCATGATGTTTGGCAGGTTAGGGATATTAAATGCCTTTTCAATTTATGATATTTTCAATTTATAATGGGTTTGTTGGGATGTAACCCCATGGTAAGTGTAGGAGCATCTGTATAGTTCTTTTTTTTTACTTTACTCTGATTATATTTAGTCAAAATACTGTGTTCAAATGTTACTTGGATTAGTTCTTTTTAATTTTAATATAGCCACTTTTCAGTGTGGTTATAGTATTCATCTGAAATACAGTTTAGGCACAGGTGGCAAACACAAGGCCCACAGGCCAAACCCGGCCCTCCGCCTTGTTTTATCCAGCCAGGCACCTTGTTTCTACCCGGCGGCAGCACCGAGCTCTCGCTTAGCTGTTAAGGAGTAGTTGCATTTATACAGTCCTAAAGTTACAGTCAGCCCTTTGAAGGCGACCTCGAGGCTGATGTGGCCCCTGGTGATAATGAGTTTGACAGCTCTGCAGTGAGGCTTATTTATTTCTGTTAGTTGTCCACTTTAGTTTTTTTCTGCCCTCGTTGCCTTCCTTTTTAGAGTATGAAACATTGACTTTTCAAGGTTGAAACTATATTCAGAGGTATACTCAGAGAAGCATCATCCCCTCTCTGGTCCCTCCACCCAGTCTCATTTCCCAGCCCTTCCCTGCAGGTCGCCAGTCTAATTGGTTTCGCCTTTCCTTCCTATGTTTCTTTTGTACAAATGAGAAGATGCATAGTTTCTAATTTCTCTGTCTTTCCTACACAAAAGGGTAGCATACTATAGACAGTCTTTTACATTTTGCTTTTTACCACTTAACAATATATCCTAGAAATACTCCATACTACTGCTTATTGTCTTCTATAGCTGCATAGTATTCCCTGTGTGACGTTCATAATTTATGCACTCATTCTCCTAAGTGTGGGCATATGGCTTGTTTCCAATATTTCACACTTTTAGAAGTGCTGTAGTGAATAGCCTTGGATGTATATTGACTGATGTATACTTATGTAATAGTTATTATAGTCTGTTATATATATTTGCAATTGTTTAGGATTCTGCTTGGCTGTGAGTTGGGTGAGCAGATAATGAGTTGTTTATTACTAAAGCCTGCAGAGCTAGACCCCTGCCTGGGGAGGAGGACAAAACCCATCCTCCTACAGCTGACTCAGCAGTAGGTTACAGAACACTGTGCCAGGTAGTGGTGAAAGAGGTCCGCATCCTCACTTGAGTGTTTTTGGAAATGCATTTATCTGATTCTAAACTAGATAATAAAGGAAGGTGAAAAAAGTTACTTTATTCATTATTTTTTACCTTTTCATTCAACCTTTGTTTATTGGAGCACCCTAGTCTATACCCTGACAAACACCAGTGACAAAAATGAAGACAACATAGTTCTTACTGGGTGGTCAAGTTCACTGACAGACAAGTCAACAGTTGCTGGACAGGATGCTTGTACGGTATACATATAGAGCTCAGAAGAAGTTGAAGTGGAGACATTCTAGGGTGAGGGAACCAGTATATTCAAAAGCATGACCATGTGAGGAAAAATGTTAGACATTTGGGAAACTACAAAAGTAACCCCAGGTAATGTAAATAGTTAGATGATTAACAAAAAAACCAACACACAAGACATCTGAAAAGTGAAAATATATTTAATTATTTAATCTTTGGATAATCAAGAACATCCTAAGCATTAAAGCAATAAAAGAAATCACAAAAGAATATACAGATGGCCATGGCTGGTGTGGCTCAGTGGATTGAGTGCCGGCCTGTGAACCAAAGGGTCGCTGGTTCGATTCCCAGTCAGGGCCCATGTCTGGGTTGCAGTCCACAGTCCCTGGTTTGGGGGGGGTGTGAGAGGCAACCACACATTGATGTTTCTCTCCCTCTATTTCTCCTTCCCTTTCCCTCTCTCTAAAAATAAATTAATAAAATCTTTTTAAAAAGAAGAATATACAGATGGACTTGACTATAAAAAATATAAAACTTCTACATAGTAAAAGGTATTAGTATTTAAAAGCAAACATAGTGGGGAAGATGTTTGCAGCAAATGTGCCAGGCAAAGGTTGATATCTGTAGTATTTTTAAAAAAAAACATAAAAAGAAAGATGTGATAGTGTTAAAACACAAAGCCTAATAGAAAAAAAGAGTGGAGGGCATGAATGCAGAATATGCAGAGAAGAATTCCGCATTCTTTCCTAATTTAAAATAATCAAACATACTAACTAGATTTGTAAGAATTCTAGTCTTATAATAACTTTTTCTTCTATATTTCAGCCTTGGCTTAATCTTGGAGCTATAAAAGGTAGATGACCATTGGG